TTATTATGTACAATGTTCTCATTTCACTTTGCACCAGTTCATGTAAATCTTCCCATGTTTTTCTGAAATCATCCTGTTCATCATTTCTTATAGCACAGTAGTATTCATCACAATCATATACATAACTTGTTCAGCCATTCCCCAATTGATGGGCTTCACTTACCCCCAGAAAAGAGCTGCTATAAATATTTTTGTACATGTGGGCCCTTTTCCTTTTTATTTTTTATCTCTTTTGGAATACAGACCTAGCAGTGGTAATGCTAGGTCAAAGGGTATGCACAGTTTTACCCTATACTTTTGCATAAGCTGTCCCCCAGTGCCTATAATGATCTCACTCTTCACCACTGCCTCTGGGAACCCCTAGATCCCTTTAAGATTCAGCTCAGTTGCCATCTCGTTAAAGAGGCTTTTTCTGATTCACCTAGTTGTTAATGACCCCTTCTCCCAACTATGAATTTGTTTTGTACTTATCAATTATTTACTTATCTATGAACATGTTGTATCCCCCAGTAGGATATAAGCTGTTTAAGAACAGGAACTGTCTTACTTTTTTTTCATTTATACCTCCAGCACCTAGCATAGTGCCTGACGTAATAGGCATTTAACAAATACTTGTCAATGTATTGATGGTTGACTGCTAGACAATAGTATAGGTAGGTGGATTCAGAATGACTGAATGGCCAGATCCTATTCTTAGTCCTTAGTGGGCTGATGTCAACTTGTATAGTCACATCTACTAGAGTTCCTTAGGCATCTGTCATTGGTCTCTCAATGACATGGATAAAGGGTGACATTCTCTTCAACCTTACAGATGATTCAAAGTTAAGTGGAAAAGTAAACACATTGTATGAAAAAGTTAGGGTCTAAAAAAACCTCAACAGAAAGTTGGATCTACTCTAATAAGATGCAATTTAAGAGTATAAATGCAATATCTTATACTTGGTTAAAAATACATTATGGATATAGGCGTGGGGAGTCATGGTTAGATTGTAATTCGTCAGAAAAAGATGCAGGGATTTTAACAGATTACAGGTTGAAGAAGAATCAAAGACATGATATGACGCTAAAGAAGTTCATATGATCTTAGAATTCATTAAGCAAGGAAAAGTGTCCAGAATGAGGGAAATATTAGTGTGAGGCTGCCCTCTGGCCTGATCGTATCACATCTAGAGTATTGGGTTCAGCTCTGGACACTGTAATTTAGGATGGACATTGATTAAACTTGAAAATATCATAAGGAGGGCAACCATGCTGTTGAAGGGTTCAAAACCATGCCATGTGAGGACTGGCTGAAGAAACTGGACTGGAAACAGGCAGAACATATTTGCATATGCTCAAGTCTTTACTGTGTCATAGGATCAGGCAGAGGTTGAAGGTCCTTTAGCACATCAAAGGACATCCAAGCATTCAATATAGGAATGCATGAAAACAATTAGGAATGTTTAGTTTGGAGAGAAAACTTGGAGAGCCTTGATAGCTGCTATCAAATATGTTACATGAAAAAAAAATTATAGTTGTTCTGCCGTCCCCAGGAGGCAGAATCTGTAGCAAAAGATTGATGCGGCAGAGAGGAAAATTTTTATTTTATGTAAAGGAAAGTTCCTTAATCATCCAAAAATGGGATGGACTCTCTTAGGAAGTAATGATTTCCCTCTCACAAGATGCCTTGAGACGATGGCCTGGATGACCGTTCATCAGGATGTTATAGGAGAGGATTCTCAGTTAGGTGCTGAGTTGGTCATTCACCCAACTGAGACTCTATGATAATCTAAAACAAGGCAGAGAGTACTTTCTGTTCACAGTCTTCCAACAACCCATTGATTCCTACTAAGGCAGTTCACTGGCCAAATGGGATAGAATGCAGAATTTAATTAGGAAGACCTGAATTTGAATACTGTCTCTGACATTTAGTAGCTATATAACCTTGGGCAGGTCACAGATGCACAAATGCAGGTCATCTGTAAAATGGAGATAATAATAGCATCTACCTCATGGAGTTTTTGAGAGAATTCAATGAGTCAACATACAAAAACACTTCATAAACTTTGAAGCATTATATAAGTGCTAGTGATGATGATGATGATGATGATGATAACTAACAATGAAACCAGGGTATCCTCAATGAGATTTGTCCTCCATAAATCAAAGTGAAGAGAATGGAAAGCTTTTAATTTAGTCCATGTGAAATTTTAAAAATGCATAGTTTATTATCAGAATTCTCTTACTCCTATTTCTGTTCTTATGTAAGCAGTTCACCACAAAATGGTAAAGAGAACAGATACACCTAGTTGGTGTTTTAACTTCCTATCCAGCACCACGTAGAGCTCCAACACTACATTTGGACACCCAGATCTTCCTTTGTACAGCATTCTTGCAGTTACTCTGGGACACTTTCCGGGTCAGAGTTTCACTGTTTACAAAACAAAAAGAATTTCAGGGTTGCAAGGTGGTACCTCAATGGGAGTTTCAAGAGCCAGATGGTAAACACTTGGGGCTCTAAATGATTAATAGGGAGAAATGCTGGGGATTCTGAGAAATCCAAATGAAAACTCCTGAACTTCAACCAAAAAAATCCTTAAATTAGGGCACTGTTAACCTTCCTGGCAGATTTTTTAAATTGTCACTACACAATTGCCTGTTGCAAGAACCAATTTTGGGAACTAATTACATAGACATTAAGACAAAAGCAATGTTATCCTCATGAGTAAAGAGCAGTGCTTTCTGAAGGGTATTTTCAATAACTGCTTTCTAACTGACCCCTCTTTGAATAGACCCGGGCTTGAGCCAAAAGGGAATTGAAATACTGGGAAATCAGTGAAACCACAACCAGGGGGAAAAGCCATAGCACAATGTAAACCTGAAGGGCAAGAATGACACTGAAATTTTGCAAAGAAGTAAGCCAAGGGGCCATGACTTAGAAGCAGCCCAATATAATGGCTGGAGTTCTGAACTACAGTAGGTGTCAGAAGACCTGAATTCTGCTCCTAATTCTGCTTCATGAGTTACTTCATTTTCTGTGTCAAATTTTCCATCCCTAGAATGGAAAGAAGTGAGGTGGTATTATGGGTGGCATGAGAAGAAAAGGAAAGGATTTGAGAAAGTTCCTATGGAGAGTTTGATAGAGTCAACTGGGGAAAACCAATTAAGAGAACATATGTGAAAGTGATTTTTAAAAAATCTAAAAGCCTATACAAGTATAAGGTATTATTGGGAGACACTGATGTTTTGCTCTGGTCAGAATACAGCAAGGTTGTTGTTTTTCTAAATTTCTGACATATATATATATATATATATACACACACACACACACACATATGCATGTATATATACACAAAGAGATATGCATGTATCTGTGTATGTATGTGTGTACATATACACATACACAAACATACATACAAGAACATAGACCAAGAGGGTAGAAGACCTCTTCACTTAGCTTTTATACCTGCTACAATTTATTTGTGTAGCAGGTTCACCTCATCTTGAATTATATGGGGGCATTCTCTGCCCACCACTTGAGGACCTTGTAGAAACAGGCGTACACACAGATAAGCTGGCCTGCTTTCACTATGTCTGGCTCATGAATGGGTTTACTCTCCCCAAATGATTGCTGAGCAGGAAAAGCTGATGATTCAGAGTATTCCATAGCCCAGAAGTGGTGGCTTCTCATTGGAATGAAGCCCTTGAGAAGAAAAGATGAGACTCCTGTCAGGGAGATGGAAGAAAGAAGGGTCCTTTTATACCCTGGCATAATGATGGGGCCAGGTTCTTCTATTCCTCTGGTCCTTCTCATGTGGAGAAGGACTCAACCAGAGGCTCCTGGCTGCTTTGCCTGTCTTTTTATGGTTCATTTCCTCTAGCAACACTCTTGTGAACGTCAAAAGGTACTGGCGACAAAGGCAGCATCTATTTGGAAGGAAAGAAATATTTATTAAATGCCTACCATGTGCCAGGAACTGTGCCAAGAGCTTTACAAATATTAACTCATTTGATCCTAACAAACAGTGCTATTATTATCCCAGTTTTCTAGTTGAGGAACTTGAGAAAGACAGAGAGATTAAGTGACTTGCCTGGGTCACATAGCTAGTAAGTGTCTGAGGCCAGACTTGAACTCAGGACTTCCTGACTCCAAGCCCGGTGTGCTATTTGCTGTATAACCTAGCTGCCTCTGCACTTGTGGTTACAGCGGTAGTAGCAGAATCATGCATATGTGAAAGGAAAGTGTCAGTATCAGAAAAGAAGGTCCTCAGGATGAAAATACCTCTTGGGGTTTGATGAGACTGTACTCAGTGGAGATGAAATGTAAACTGGTTAATTATCAATCTTGCAAAAATTGTTTATGTCCAGATGAAGCTTGAGTATTATCTTTCCAACTGACTTACTAATAGCAAGAAGTTGCTGGATTCTATTCTAATCATTCTGTGCTTTGTTATTATTGTTTAGTATTACCTTTGCTGCAGTGGAAATAAAGGTATCCTTTTTAACTCTTCCCTTTGCCTTGGAGAAGTTCTAGACTTTGAATCCATAACCATTTCTATAATTAGAAATTTTACAAGTAGCAACTTGGAATAGTTGGAAGTAGAGGTTGAAAAACCAATAAATGAAAAACCAATGGGGAGCTTACTTCCCCTTTTGAGGAATTAGGCAATCCTAGAGGAATAAACAAAAGAAAATGGTACTGGTGGGTAAAGGGCAGATATTGGCACAGTTCACTGGCCCTGTGGCCTCACACTAGTGACTAGCTAACCACTATGTAATATTTGTATTAGCTTCAGCCTGCACACGGCTACCGTGCATCATCTTTTTTTTTTTTGGCAGAGCACCTAAAATAAGCTTTACAACACCTGCCCCACAAAGGGATTTCTTAAGTTAGATCGTTATCTGGAACCATGAACTTCAAATAAATACCAGAAGTAGGCAATTGGAAGAAAAGGCCTTCATCTTAATTTGGGGATATTCTGAAAGGTTTTTTTGGGGGGGCAGGGAACTCTATACTTAACCAGATGTAGTGGTTCATATGCAGGACCGTAGACTAAAGAGCTACCCGCTTGTCTTTGTCAAGGAGAGGCATCCTAGTCACTGCACCATAAGAGTGGGATCTGAGATCCAGGAGGTGGCCTGAAAATCTGAAGAACAGACAGTGACAGAGGGAAGCTCAGTGACCACCAGCCATGCAAAAGATGTTCAGTAGAGACAATGTCACACTTAGAAGAGATAACTTGATAGGCAGAGAGCAGAGACGTGCCAGTATGATGATATCAACAAAGGACATAGGCAGTCCTACAGAGTTACAGGTATGAGTTACCCTGACCATGATTGTGTCCTAGTTATGTATATTTCTTATGTGTGGGTCTTTCATGTATGTGACCTTCATAAATGTTCCTTGGCCACAAATCTTCCCTATTTATGTATTCTCCATGCATGTTCCCTGGTCTTGCATATTCTATGTATGTGCCCTCCCTCACTGGTGTTATGTTAATTTGTGTCAGAGTGTTCTTTATGTGTGCTTGGAGGAATCTTTTCTTGTCATGTTTTTGCTATGCTGTTTAATTAAATGTCTTTATTTTTGAACTAATGTGTCTTCTGGCTGTCTGGCAGAAGCAAACACAATGGTAGATGCTCATAAGCTATAATTTTTAAATTGACATTAACCTATTCAGTGTCTTGGACTTAGGGTAGCTTTTCTCAGAGCCTCATGCTGGGGGCATATTTGCATGCTACATTATTGTGCTTTGATCATTCATGAATTTCATCAGAAACTTAGGAACTTTAGCTCCTAGTTGAAAATAGTTGCTAGTTTTTGGAAATCGTTACCTTACCCTCATTGCCAAAGGTCTTTCAGAAATGTACAGGGAAAAAAATGCCAGAAAAAGAATTTTCAGGAAAAGTGGGACAGTCATTAGGAAGAACATGAATACGGAAGGCAGGGGCAACAGAGAAGCAAAACAGAACTTGGGAAGTGTAAAAAAGCATTAGTAAGTAAAAGCTGAAAGTAAAAAGAGCTGACAATAGGGAAGTATCATGAGTGCCTTGAGCGCTGATTACCACCTGAGCTCAGGAAAGGTTGGATCAAAAAAAAAAAAAGGTTTTTGCCTGGCTGTGGTTAGAAGAGAGATTTTAAAGAGAAAAAAAGGGGGGGAAACAAGTTCTAGAAAATAGTTTTATTACTTACAGGAGAAATAGTCTGTAAACAACTTCACAGCAGTCACTCAAACGAGGAGAAGCAATGTACTGGCATAGGGATGGGTCTGGATAACAGAAGGGCTAGGCTTACCAACAATTAAGGCTTCCGTTTAACTGTCACATCCATTCTGACAAATCCAGTACAGAGTCCTGGGTGGTTGTTACTGTTGTTGATTTAAAATAAGATTGAAATATCAACTGAAAACAGCCTTCCTAGAAACCGTTTTTGGGGAAGTTGTGGCTACATTGGCTAGAGGATTAGGATTATAGTGTTCAGAGTGGGAAGAGAGTGACTATTTTGGAATTCACCTGTGATATATATATTAGAATGAGTTTCCTGATAACTTAGTTCAGCCCTGGCTGTCTTTGTAGACTCTGCTGCTACTGTTTGTCCTTCCCCAACCCCACTGTCACCGCAGACAAAATGAGCACATGTCTGTGATCTGGCCAGGGTTGTATCCAGGGACTGACCATCCAAAAGGCACAATAGACATGTAAGTTCCCCCAATATTTATTAATCTCATACTATGGGCAGTGGATTCTTCTAGTTACATGTCTAAAGGACCCAATGTCTAGGCAAAACCAAAGGTAGCCTTAGTTTCCTTCAGCTCCAAATCTATGATACTGCAAACTTGGGATATTTAGCCAAGGGAGAAAAAGACTTAGGGAGACTTAATAGCTATTTTCAGGGATTTGAAGAGCTATCATGCAGATGAGAGATTAGGTTTTTTTAGTTGTTTTTTTTTTTTGGTTATCCTCAAAGGATAGAACTGAGAGAAATGGACAGAAGTCACAAAAAGACAGATTTAGGCTTCATAGAAGCAAAAATTTCCTCATACTTATCCAAAAGTAGAATGGGGCAGTTTCAGGAAGCAGCAGGTTTTCCCTCCCTTGAAGTTTTCTTACAAAGGCAAGATGAGTATTAGTCAGATATCTTAAAGAAGACAGTCTTATTCAGGTACAGATCAGACAAATAAACTTGAGAGCTAGAAAGGGCATTAGTAGCCATGTAGTCCAACTCATAAAGGAAAAGACATCTTCAGTATAACAAACCCAGTAAGTGATCCTCCAACTGTGGTTTGAAATACCTCCAATCAGCCTACTACATTTTTGGATTTAGTTCTAGTTGTTAGAAAGTTCTTCAGACCCTCAAGCTTCTTTGCCACTTCTGTTCACTCCTCCTGGTCTGCCCTCTGGGGCCAAGTAGAACAAAACTAATCCTTCTACCTTATCACAGCCCTTCAGATACCTAAGACAGCTATCATTTCCCCCCTAAGCCTCTTCTCCAGCCTAAACACTTTCAGTTCCTTCAACCAATCCTTGTAAAGTGTAGACACAGGGCCCTCCACTATTCTACCCAGAACCTAACACATCAGACTAGATGTCACCCAAGCAGGGTAGAATATATTAGAACTATCACCTCCTTATTCTCAAAAACTATGGCTCTCCAAATATATCAAGATATATTTGGGTTTTTGGTTTTTTTGTTTTATTTTTTTTCCCACTGACAGATCGCACCAGTGACATATTGAGTGAGGCTGTAGCCCACTAAAACTCCCAGATCTTTTTAAGACAATGTTTAAGACATGTTGCTATCTCAACATGTGTTCCTAATCTAGTACTTGCTAAGTTTTTTGAACCTAAACGTGACCTTATATTTATCCCTATTGAAATTCATCATATTTGAATCAGACCAATGCTTTAAGCCTGTCAAGATCTTTTTTTGGATGCTGAGTCTGTTATTCAGTGTGTTAGCTGTCCCTCCTAGCTTCATGTCATCTGCAAATTTGATAAGCATTGTGCCTTCATTCAAGTTAATGATAAAAATGCAAACAACACAAGGCCAAGCTCACATTCCTGGGGCACTTCACAGGAGACCTCCTGCCAAGTTGACATTGAACCACAAATGACAACTCTTTCAACTAGTTCCAAATCTATTTGACTATACTGTTATCTAAGCCCACATCTCTCTATATTTTCCCCAAGAATAACATAAGGGACATCTTCAAATACTTTGCTAAAATCTAAATGATTCTATCTATAGTATTCACCTGCTTAGTAACTCTGAAAAAGAAAGAAAGAAAGAAAGAAAGAAAGAAAGAAAGAAAGAAAGAAAGAAAGAAAGAAGGAAAGAAGGAAAGAAAGAAGAAAGAAAGAAAGAAAGAAAGAAAGAAAGAAAGAAAGAAAGAAAGAAAGAAAGAAAGAAAGAAAGAAAGAAGGAAGGAAGGAAGGAAGGAAGGAAGGAAGGAAGGAAGGAAGGAAGGAAGGAAGGAAAAAAGGAAGGAAGGAAGAAAGGGAGGAAGGAAGGGAGGGAGGGAGGGAGGAAGAGTATGTTTAGCTTGTAATTACCTGTTCTTGATATTAACTCTTTGTCATCACTGTTTCCTTTTCCAGATGTTAAAGAAGATTCTTTTAAATTATCTGTTCTAGAATTCTGCCAGAAATCTAAATCAAGATTCCTGATCTAGAGTTTGTAAATTCCATTCTCTTCCTTTTCTGAAAATTGGGGCAACTTTTGCCCTTCTCCAAGCTTCAGTAAAGACAGCTAGGTGGCAGCATAGATAGAGCACTTGGTTGGGACCTGAGTTCCTATGCGACCCTGTTAGATACTTAGTAACTTCCTCAAAGTTACCTAACCTCTATTTGCTTCAACTGTAAAATGAGGATAAGAACACCTAATTCCTAGGGTTCTTGTGAAGCTCAAATGAGATAACATTTGTACACTGCTTAATACAGTGGGCACATAATAGATGTTTATTTCCTTCCTATGGTACCTATCCTGTTTTCCATGATCTTTCAAATAATATTGGTAGTAGCTCAGCAATCACATTTACAATTCTTTAGGTATGTTAGGAGGTCCATCCACCTGGGATAGGTGACTTGAATTCACCAAGAGCAACTAAGTGCTCTCTTATTATCTCCTTATTGATCTTGAGTGTTAGCCCCTAGGTTTAACAATATTTAACCATTTTTGTTCTGTAAAGGTCAATCTTCTTGTCAGAAGAAATTAAAGTAAAATGAGAATGAAACCAATATCTCATTAGAACGTTTTCTTTATCATCAGTTGCTAACACCCCTTTAACCCCAAGCTGACTACACCTATTCTTTAATGTTCCTCTTTTTTCTAATATAGCTTTTTAAAAATAGCATTCTTCTCATTGTTTTTGAAGGACTATGACATGATCTTATATTCATCCAGTAACTACTTGCCTTTGCTTTTAATCTCTATACATATCTTTTAAAAATCTACGTTAGTAATTGATTTCTCAAGGTATCCCCATTAATCTCTTCAGACAGCTCTCATTTTTCCTTCTCATCAGAATTATTACCTTTGTGTCTTTACAATTAGATTCTTATGAGTTTTCCAAACCTATTGGACTCATTTCCTCTGTAGAATTTTGTTTTGTTGTTTTTTAGTCATGTCCAACTCTTTGTGACTCCATTTGAGGTTTTCTTGGCAAAGATATTGGAGTGGTTTCCCATTTCCTTCTCCAGATCATTTTACAGCTGAAGAAACTGAGGCAAATAGGGTTAAGTGACTTGCTTAAGGTTATACAGCTATTAAGTGTCTGAGACCAGATTTGAACTCATGAAGAGGAGTCTTCCTGACTCCAAGCCTGGCATTCTATCAACTGTGACACCTAGCTACCCAAGTAGAATTTTAGTTCATGACATCCTTTTTTTCTTTTTAATAGTATTTTATTTTTCCTCCAGTTACATGTCAAGGCCATTTTTAGCATTCATTTATACAAGGTTTTGAGTTTCAAATTTTTCTCCCTTCCTCTTTCGCCTCCCTTCTTCTTAAAATGGTAGGCAATTTGATATAGATTATGCATGTGCTATTATATAAAACGTTTCCATATTAGTCATGGTTGTGAAAGAAGAAACAGATCAAAAGGGGGGGAAAAACCGCGAAAAAGAATGCTTTGATGTGCATTCAGTCCATTAGTTCTTTATCTGGATGTGTATAGCATTTTCCTTCATGAGTCCTCTGTTCTTCTCTTGTGTCACTGTGTTGCTGAGAAGAGCTGACTCATTCATAGTTGGTCATCATACAATGTTGCTGATACTGTGTACAATGTTCTCCTGCTTCTGCTCATTTCACTTTGCATTAGTTCATACAAGTCTTTACAGGTTTTTCTGAAATCTGCCTGTTTATCATTTCTTATTGCACAGTAGTATTCCATTACATTCATATAACACAGCTTGTTTAGCCATTCCCCATGGATGCCCATACCCCTCAATTTCCAATATTTTGACACCTCAAAAAGGGCTTTTATAAATATTTTTTCATACATAGGTCCTTTCCCCTTCATTAGGACCTCTTTGGTCTATAGAGAGCAGTATTGCTGGATAGAAGGGTATGTGGATTGGTTGTGCTTTGGGCACAGCTCCAAATTGTTCTCCTTCTAGTTGGATCAGTTCACCACTCCACAAATAGTATATTAGTGTCCCAATTTTCTCACATCCTCTCTAACATTTAACATTTTCCTTTTTTGTCATGTTAGCCAATCTGATAGGTGTGAGATGGTACCTCAGAGTTTTAATTCACATTTCTCTAATTAAAAGTGATTTAGAGTACTTCACATACCCGTAGATAGCTTTGATCTCTTCATCTGAAAACTGCCTATTCATATCCTTTGACCATTTGTCAATTGAGGAATGGTTTGTATTCTTACAAATTTGACTCAGTTCTTATATATTTGAGAAATGAGTTCTTTATCAGAGACACTTGCTGTAAAGATTGTTTCCCAGCTTTATGCTTTCCTTCAAATTTTGGTTGCATTGGTTTTGTTTGTGCAAAAGCTTTTTAATTTAATATAACCAAAATCATCTATTTTACATTTTGTAATCATAATGCTCTCTACCTCTTGTTTGGTCATGAACCTGTAACTCACTTAACTTCCTCTTTAAGAATTTGGTTGCTATACCACTAGGTGCATATATGTTTAATATTGATACTACTTCATTGTCTATGGTACCTTTCGGAAAGATGGAGTTTCCTTCCTTATCTCTTTTAATTGGGTTTATTTTTGCTTTTGCTTTGTCTGAAATCAGGCTTACTACCCCTGGGTTTTTTTTTTACATCAGCTGAAGCATAATACATTCTGTTCTAGCCCCTTGCCTTTACTTGTGTGTGCCTCTCTGCTTTAAGTGTGTTTCTTGTAAACAACATATTGTAGGATTCTGGTTTTTGATCCATTTCCATGGGAGAGTTCATCCCTTTCACATTCACAGTTATGATTACTAACTACACATTTCTCTGCATCCTATTTTTCCTCCTATTCATCCTCTCTCCTTTCACCCAAACAAAACAGTGTTTTGCTTCTGTCTACTGCCTCCCCCAGTCTGTCCTCTCTTCTGTCAGTCGCCCCTCACTCCTTCTTACTTAATCTCCTTCTTTCCCACTTTCCTGTTGGGTAAGATGGATTTCCATATTCAACTGATTGTGTATATTATTCCCTCTTTGAACCACTACTCATGAGGGTAAAGTTCAAGCCATGCCCATTGTCTACCCCTTTCATCTTTCCTTCCACTGTAATAGGTTTTTTTGGATTTCTTCATATGAAATAATTTATCCCATTCTATCTCTACGTTCCTTCTGCACCCAGTGTACTCCTCTTTCTCATCATTTTTTTTTTTATGTCATGGCCTCAAATTTACCTTATATCCATACTGGCTGTCTATGTATATTCCTTCTACCTATACTATTAATGGTACAATTTTTAAGAATTACAAATAATAGTTCAGCTCCATGAAATCCCTTATGTTTTCTTTTCCCTTTTTACTTTTTTAGGCTTCTCTTGGGTGTTGATATTGGAGATGAAATATTTGATTTAATTCTGGTCTTCTCCTTGTGAAAGCTTGAAATCCTTCTATTTCATTGAATGAACTTTTTTTTTCCCTTTGGAGTATTATGCTTAATTTCACCAGGTAAGTGATTCTTGGCTGTAGTCCTAGCTCCTTTGCCTTCTAGAATATCATGTACCATGACTTCAGATCTTTTAATGTTGCAACTGCTAAATCCTGTGTAATCATGATTGTGGGCTCCCCAATATTTAAATTATTTCTTCTGGCCACTTTAGTATTTTTTTCCCTTGACCTGATAGTTCTGTAATCTGACTAAACTCCCTGGAGTTTTTATTTTGTGATCTCTTTCCTGAGGTGATCAGTGGATTCTTTCAATTCTTATTTTGCCCTCGGGTTCTAGAATATCAGGGCAGTTTTCCTTGATAATTTCTTGAAAGATGCTGTCTATGTCCTCCTTTTGATTATGGCTTTCAGGTAGTCTAATGATTCTGACATTCTCTCTCCTAGATCTATTTTCCAGGTCAGTTGTTTTCCCATGAAGTATTTTACATTTTCTAATATTTTTTCATTCTTTTGAATTTGTTTGATTGATTCTTCATGTCTCATAGAGTCATTAGCTCCCACTTGCCCAATTCTCACTTTTAAGGAGTTGTTTTCCTCAATTAGCTTTTATACTTCCTTTTCCATTTGGCCAATTGTACTTTTAGGGAGTTGTTTTCTTCAGTGGATTTTTGTGTCTCCTTTTCCATTTGGCTAATTGTACCTTTTAAGCAGTTGTTTTCTTTTTCCAAGCTGTTTGCTCTTTTTTCATAATTCTCTTGTATCACTCTCATTTCTTTTCCCAATTTTTCTTCTACTTCTCTCATATGATTTTTAAGCTCTTTTTGGAACTCTTCCATGAGATCTTCCTAGGCTTGAGACCACTTCCTGTGTTCCTTTGGGGTTTTGCCCATAGGTGTTTTGATATTGTTGTCTTCTTCTGAGTCTGTCTTGGTCTTCCCTGTCACCAAAATAACTTTCTATGATCCGATTCTTTTGTTGCTGTTATTTTGCTCATCTTTTTGGCCTTTCTCTATTCTTTTAAATTTGAGCTCTGCTCATAGGGTGGAAGGGGCACTGTCTCAGGCTTCTTGTGCCAGTGGCCATAGGCCCTGGCTGTTTAGCTGGTGCTGTGCTGATGTTGCCTTGAGGCCAACAGGGGCCCTTTGTTTCTGGTGCTGCACTGACAGGGTGGGGTGTGGGGTAGCTGGTGCTGCTAGAGGCTGTAGGGGTCTGGCAGTTTACCTAGTGCTAAGATGGAGTCCTCATATTGATGTCTGGCATGTGCTGAGGCCAGTGGGGCTATTTCTGTATTTCCCTGGGACTACACTGAGGCACATGGCAGTCTGGCCACTGGAGGTTGCCTGTTTGCCAAAGGCTATGCTGAGGCACATGAAGGTCTGGCCACTGGAGGATACCTGTTTGCTTGGGGTGATGCTGAAGCACATGATGTTTCTGGGAGCTGGAGTCTACCAGTTCCCCTGGCTCTGCTGAGGCACGTGGGGAGGGGAGGTCCTAGTGTTGGCTTTTGCCTGCTCCACC